ATGAAGAGAAAGGGATTGCATTTATACGGCATTAAGAAGGGAGGATAAATTACCAGATGCATTCCACAAATGCTGAGGGCTGCCTGGTGAGGCCTTGTAAAACCTGGCCACCTAAACTAGGCCTGGTCAAAAGCCTCAGGCCATCTGAAACAGAAAATTGCAGGATTACTGATTTTTCTTTTTGTTTTTTTCATTTTTCCTTTTGTTTTAATGTGTATTTTCCAAACATTTTATGAAGAAATATGTTAAATTTCACTTTTACAAGTTATTTGAAATGGAGCTTTTGTCTCACACTTCTTGATACTTGGTCCTTTTGCCATGAGAGTTTGCAAATCTCATATTTCTTATGCCCTACAATCCTCTATCATCTTTTTAAAAGTTGTTTTAATCTATTTTCTACATTATTAAAACTTTGTTAGAGTGCCTGTTCATGTGAAAAATAAGAGAAAAAATAATTGTATGTTTCCCATTTAATAACGCAAAACCATGTTTTCCTAAAGTATCAGAAAATACAGCCTTGCCAGCCTGTGTGGGCAGATGATGTGCTCAGTGGTAGAGGAGGCCCAGGATTTAGTAACGATTTGCCACTAACTAGCCGGGGAGTCTCAAATAAATTAACATCACTTCACAGGTTATCGTTTTTGCAAACAGAAAGCATAAAGACTGGCTAAATAATATACACATACCTTGCATGTTTTTAAGATTACTGTCTAGGGATCTACACTAAAAAAATGAATGTATCTTCACTGTTGAGTTTTCTTATTATTTTAAATGCAGAAAATGAACTAAAGTTCTATATGCATATTGGGAAAAATACTGAGAAACCTACAAAGTTCAGACTTCTAAAGAGGGGGATGATGTATGAATATATAATACAGAATCATGGTGTATTGTTTTCCTTACTTTGTCATATGCTACTCTATTGCTACTGGTTTCCTTCCTTGGAATTTAAATGAACTCAAGCAGAGGTTTTCATGTTTGCAGAGTTTATAGCTTTTAAGATCAGTCCATACATGCAGCCCACAGTTGCTTCATTCCCCCAAAGGAAGATTTTCAAACATAAATCATGTGCTCACTCACAAGTTTTTGTTGTTACCATAGTGATAAGAATAAAGAATGAAAAAAAAAAGCTAAAAATACCTGAAGACATACAGACAGCTTTAGGAATCTGACCTACTTGGTGTCATACACTGAAGAAGTTAATCAACTGAATTAACTATAATGTATTAGGTGAAATGTTCTACCGGATGAGAAAATGCGTAGGTTGCATATCTGCAGCTATTACCCACAATCAAAAAAGTCAGTATGAATGAAGATGACTGACAATCTAAAAATGCATAAAATCCAATGCTCTTAAAATAGAATATATATATCACGAGCAAACAGAAATCCATTACTTTTGCTTTTCCCATAAATCTTGTTTTCTTATCATTATGTTAGGATATTTTCTCCATTTTAAATGAAAGCTTCCCATGCACCAAAAGAATTTTTAACAGGATGGAGTAATATAATTAGACAAAATTAAAATTGTAGTGCTCTCTTCTATAAGAGAAGGCTTCCCGATCATCTTGGACATGAGAATGCAAACAAAATGTTTTAAAAATGAAGTTTTCTTTGAAAATTATAAATTTTGCACAGTTTTTTTTTGGGGGGGTACCAGGGATAGAACTCAGGTCCTTGCACTTGAGAGATGCAGGCTGTAGAACCACTAAGCTAAATCCCCAGCCCTGTACAATTTTAACAGATTCAAAATTTACATAAAATTTACTGCATCACATGGCATAAAGGTAGTCTGTAAAAGATTAGTAAAAGGCAGCCCTTACAGTCAAGAATATTTTCACCAGCTATCTAATTATGGTTTTGTAGCATTGATTTTTAAAATACCAGCACATAATAAAACCAAAAGAGCATTAACTTTGGAGTGAATGGACCAAGTTAAGGTTTCAGCTTATCCATGAACTTGGAAAAGTCTCTTTCTGAGCTTTTGTCCCTTCATCTGTACAATCAGCATAAATAAGTATATCACCTTCTTTACCACAAAGTTCATTATAATAATTGAAACAGATTACTATATGGGTGGAAGACAATGGATGAAATTTAAATGAAAATCTCTATTAAAATGGGTCACCATACAATTAGGTTCAATAGTTAAACATTTTCAGAGTAAAAATGACTATTAGAAATATAGTAATAAGAATAGATAAAGTTGATAGTGAGTAGTAAGAACCTTTACTGAGCACTTAAAACAGAATATATATTTTGCATCATTGATTTCATTCAACTCTCACAACCTTCCAATGACTTAGACTTTATCTTACTTTTGTAGCTGAAAAAAAACAAGGCCCAGGAGGGATAAACAGCTTGCCGGAAAACAGCTAGTAAGTGGTACAGCCAAGAAGCAACCCAGATGTCTTAGTTGCTTTTTCTTCATCTCTGGGACAAAATACCCAACACCCTCAATTTAAGAGAGCAAATTTTATTTTGACTCACAGTGTGTAGAGGTTTCAATCCATAGCTGGCTCCAGGGCAGGACAGCATGGCACAGGGGCCTGCGAGAGGAAATGCTGCTCGTGGCATGGCGGCAAGAAGCAGAGAGAGAGTGTAGGGAGGGGCAGCAGAGGGAGGCAGGACCTTCAGGCTGCCCCGCCCAGTGACCCGCCTCTGGTGACCAGGCTCCCCCTGCCAACATCACACCAAGCTGTCAACTCACCACTGCTGACTGTGAAGTCCTCACGATCCAGTCACCTCTCAAAAGCCCCAAGTACAAGCACATGGAGCTTCTGGGGGACATCTCAATAGAAACCATGTCCCCAGACAAGCTAATACCAAAGCCATGCTCTAAATCTAATTCACTATGCGATATTCCAAAGTAATCAGTATTCCTATGGAACTACTGTACTAACTTGAAAAAAATCCCAATATTTTGTTACTAACACCAGTGTGTAAACTTCTGAAATACTTGATTGATTATATTTTCCTACGTTTTATTTTCTAAATTTTATTATTTATTATTTAAAGGAAACAAAATACAACAGTAAGTACAGTGTGGAATATGCTTAAAGCAGATTATTCGATCATAAATTATGTTATAAAATACATTTATAGCTTGGAAACATGAATATGATAATGTGACAGAATCAGATGTTCAAATAATATGTAAGAAATAGAAAGTTTTCATAAAAATAATTTCATATGCCCAGAAAAACTTGAAAAATATATATCAGATGCTCATTATTGGTATTTCTTAGAAATTTTATGCATTACAATATTTTCCACATCTTCTATCTTCAGAATCTTTGTCAATAGTACAAAGTCAAACAAACTAGTCATGCCCACTGAAATGAAAAATGATTTGGATGCTGATTCCAATGGGTGAATAAATATCTATCAAACTTGAGAAAATTCTTGTAAGCATGAGAGATATAACAGTGTCAAAAGAAAGTCCACAAGTAGAGAACTAGATAAATGTGGACTAAGGATAAAGGAAGAAAACTGTGAAAATACAATGAAGCTTCAGTCTTGATATTCTGACTTTATTCACACCTTCTGCAATGGTTAATCTTTACTGTCAGCTTGATGGGCTTGAGAGAAACCCAGGAGACTAGAAAGGCACACTTCCGGGTTGGTCTGAGTGGGCCAATGTGAGGTGAACTTGGGGACAGTATCTGGTCTCTGGCACTTCCTTTCTGGGTCTTTCCAGCCCTTCTGAGCTGCCATGAGGTGGGCAGATGTTTCCCATGCCCTTTCGCCACTTGTCCTACCTTGGAGCCAACCAACCACGGACTAAAATCTCTGAACTTTTCTCCATTAAATTGTGTCTGTCAGATATTTTTCCCAGCAACATAAGGTAACTAATACACCTTACTGGAGGGAGCCCTTTTTCTATATCAAAAAAGGTCTTGAAATATTTATCTTTTCAAACTGATTAAATTATGGACACATTCCTGAACATATCAGAAGGCCCTAAGAGCATGAATATAAAGAGAGAACTTAACATACAAAAATAAATTGTATCTCTCTCTCTCTCTCTCTCTCTCTCTCTATATATATATATATATTATCTGAATAAGAAATTAAGAAAATAATTTCATGTATAATAGCATCAAGAAAAATAAAATGCTTAGAAATAAATTTAAACAAGAAGGTGAAAGATCTCTACAATGAAGACCATAAAGGTATGGATGAAAGAAATTGAAGACATAAATACACGGAAAGGCATCCTATGTTCACTGATTGGAAGAATAAAGAGGATCTTAAGTGTCTTCAACACACACACACACCTCACTCATGCAGAGGGCAACTATGCATGCTGACAGGTATGTTGATTAACTTGATTGGGGTAATCATTACACGATGCATGCATATATAAAATTATCACCTTGAGTGTTTTTGTCAATTGCACTTCAATAAATCTAGGAATCGAAATAAAGGAAAATCAAGGAGAAGCTTCACGTGTTAAGGAAAATGCACTGGGATTTTTCACACCCTGATTGCAATTCCCATCCCTCCATTAGATTTTAAGGAAAAAAAATGTTCCTCTATATGATTTATTAAATATTCTCAGACAATGCTATCCTTTATTAACAGTTCAGAAAATAAAATATTTTCTTATTGTAAAATTCTGTTATATTAAAATAGATTATGATGTTTATATATTTAATCTTGATTATGTTCATCAGTAACACATCTGTTCAGGAAAAAGATTGTCAGCATCGATATTTAAAATCTGCTGATTGATATATACTCAGCTGGTTGTAACTGACATTATATCAAAATATATATTTAAACGTTATAAAAGCTAAAAGCATCACTACCGCCAAAAAACTATTAATTAATTTCAACCTGTCTTTTTTCAATATATTAAGCTCAAATGCAAAGAATTTTAAGGACAAAGAACTTCTGAAACAAAATAAAAGCAAGAGAATGAACAGGAAAGAAAAGTAAGACACAGAAGACAGAAGGAAACGAAGAAAAAAAAAAAGAAATGAAAAACTACTCACCTCTACAGGCCATGTCCCAGTAATCGTCTATTTGTTTCTGGGTTGGGAAGTGACCACAGTCATTGAAATACTTAAGGAGCTCGCTTCTCTCTAATCCTTGCCAATGTTCTCTCTTGGCAAACATTGTTTCATAAACTAAAAGAACAAAAGGTTAAAGAAAATATTGTCTTTATGAATAATATACCAAGTATAAGGCATCTGAAAGGTTCATCTGAATTTGAAGAAATTTGAACTCTAGTTTTATTCTCACGTCTAATGAAAAGCCTCCATGATGAGAGAAACAATGTGTCTCCTACTGACAAATGCTAGACAGCAAGGCTCTCCCTCCTTCCCCCATTCCACCGCAGTGAAACCAAACTGCATTCCCCCATGAGAACACCAGGTGCCTCCATTCTGACTGTGTGACCACTGATCAGAGACTATGCATATCAATGCTCAAACCACTTCCTAACACACAGCTTTCCAATTTTATTTTAGACTAAGATGTAACCATTTTACCTATTAAAGGGGTTCAGTGTGCTATGTCAATACACATACACAGTATTCATGGATCAAACCCAACCTCCTTTTCTCTTCTCTCAAATTCCACTTCCCAAACTGATAATCAGGTAAAATATGTCTACCCATGTCTGGCTCATATTACTTAGCATAATATCCTCCAGTTCCATCTCCATCTTGCTGCAAAGAATAAAAATTCATTCTTCTTCGTGGCTGAATGAAACTCAAATATGCTTTTTCTTTATTCATTCATCAGTGGGCACTACACTGATTCTGTATCTTAGCTATTGTGAATAATACTTCAGTAAACACAGGGATGCAGGCACATCTTCAGTGTGCTTATTATTTCCTGTGGATTTATACCAAGACCTGGGATAGTTGGATCACATGATGGATTTATTTTGGGTTTTTGGAGAAACCACCATACTGTTCCCACCTGTAATGGTCGTACCAATTTGCATTCCCATCAGCAATGTATGAGAGTCCTTTTTGTCCACAACCTTACCAGCAATGTTAGGATTTCTGTGGGTCTGGCTCTTGCTGACCCATTCAGTATGCATTTATTAACTCCTCTAATTTTTCATCTTGTTTTGGCTTCCAACTCACATTCTAACTGCTTAAATTGCTGATTCCACGTTGGACTGCTTATTCTGTGTCCAATTTGTTCCCTAATTAGGAGAAATGTCAACATTTTGCTCACTGAGTTCATGTGTTCTCAGTTCCTTGTTTAAGGTGCTTTGCCACCCCGGCTCCAGGCTATCATGGAAAATCACTTAGCTAGGATATCTGTCTTCTATCTCCTGTATCAAGAGCACTGACACATACCATTTGTAGATCTACTTCTACATAAATGTATTTTTTTCCAAAGGATGATACTTTTTGAAGATCATCAAAAAGACTATTCAGAAGTATATAGGATTAACCTCATGAAACTGATTATTACTCAACATATACAGGATGACAGGGACTATTTACAACTTAGCTTTGATATATAGGTTCCCAATGACAACAGGCATCAGAGTGGTTTTGAACAGAAGTTTTATCATCCTGGAACTCAATCTTACTGATTTAAATTTTCTACTCATTCTCTCTTTCATTCAATCGAAGGGGATAGTAATGAGACATGAACAAATTCAAGAAATATTTATTCATTGGCCAAATATTATAGTTATTCTAGATCTGAAAATGCAGCAGTAAAACAAATTTATACTTAGTATATCTACATGGTTTTCTCTTTTCAAATAGGCAAACTGAAGCCATTGATTTGGGTGCCTCGATCCATGCCTCCCTGTCTCTTACATTTCTCTGCATTTTGAGATAACCTGGAAGCACCAGCATCTGCCTAGAGGCACCTCCTGGCACAGGGCTTCACTCTGCTCACCTGTGCAGCAAGCCAGACAGAGTGGGAAATCAAGACTCCGCCCCACTGCAGAGCCCTCAGCCAGAGTCTATAGAGATTTGGCACATGAACGCCTTGCCCTTACAGGAAGTAGGCTCCACTGTGTTCCTGAGTTCTCTTGACAATGCAATCTTTTTTGACTTCTGTCCCTTTCCTGCATTCCTTCCGTATTCCACTAACTAATTTCAGAGTTACATTTCTAAGTAAGTTAGTTGTGCTCGAATTCTTGTCTCAGGATCTCATCCTGAAAAAAACCCAAACTAAGATACAAAGAGTGTTACTTTTTCCTTTTTTTTAAAGTATGTAAATACAGTATTCTTCACAAAATACAAGTATCTATTAGTTTTTCTTGGAATCAATCAGCTTTCCATGTTTCTTATAAGATCAGAGTGATGCACATACTAACACTATAACTTTGTTGGCTGTATCAATATGTAACAATACCCCTAATCTGCATATTGTACTCTACAAGCAAACTTGCAGCAAAATACACAGACATAATTTATATACTAGGCTAGTGTAATTGGGGTAAATATAAAACTTAAACCATGAAAATTGATGAAATTTTTGAATGATTGAAATATGCTTAAAAACATGCACAGATATTTTTCAGCATATCACCCAATTAGCCATCAATAAACAAAAGGAAAGGGGAATTTTCTAAGGAACAGGGAGACAAGTAACTTGCAAAGTCTGAGAATATTAGGGTCACTTAAACAGTCAATATAAAAGGATGCTGTGGTTGATAATTCTTCATTCAATGAGATGATTTACCACTCAGATCCTACATTAGACAGAGCACCATGTGTCCTAACTGAAGGTTTTCATTTTTTTCCCTCATGTCAGCCTATTTTCAGCAAAAGTATCAAAGAGATAAGTCCCACATAAATTCCATAGGTCCCTGTCCACTGTGCACTGAGAGCTTCCCAACTCTCTCACGGTAAAGTACAATGATCTGTGAAATCTGACACAACTGCTGCTCCACACCACTTCTCCAGTCTCATTATGTTCTGCTCTCATGCACAATTTCAGTAATACCAATCTCCTTGCTTCCTCCAACATGACCAATTGAAGCCCTGGTGCTTACTGATCCATCTTTCTGGGACATTCTTCCTCCACCTATTCTACTGGGTCACCTCTCACTTTTTAATAAACATTTATTCAAAGAGAACCTTAGCTTGAAATCAATTATCTCTCTCTCACACACACATGCTCATGCTCACACACACACACACACACACACACACACACACACACACACACACACACCTCTCTCCTCCACTCCCACAAAAAGAGAGTATCTCTCATTTTTCACACACACACACACACACACACACACACACACACACACACACACACACTTCTCTCCTCAACTTCCAGCAAAAGAAAGGGAATCTTTCCAACACAGATGATTCTGGTTATTTTAGTTATTTGTAAAAAGATAAAGTTTTATCATAACAAATAAACTCAGGGAAAACTTTGTTTTTAGCAATAGCAGGTATTCGTTGATGAACACAGTACTTGTCTTCCAGCATGTGAAACACTTTATAATCAGCTCAGTCCGCCATAAATTTTATAAAGCTATGAGACACTTCAAATTATGTATAATTTACTTTCATAATTTTTTGCGCAAAAGACTGAGTCGAATCATCTATCCTCATCCTAAATGATACTTGAGTCACCAAACACAAATAGAATTTAGGAAGCTCTGAAAGTTAAGCTGTAAATCGGGGACCTTGTTCTGGGAAGAAATCCCAACTCCCATAGGTCACAGGTGGAGGTTTTCTGCTCAGTGCTAATTAATTATCTTTATGTATCAATATTTAAATTTTCATTTGGAGTGCAACCTGCAGTGCACAGAGCCTCTCTGTAACTCTCAAGGTTCCTGACTTTCCCAGTGCAAAGTGCTAGACTTATGACTCAGGCTAAACCCATCAGGCAAAGTCTCCCAGGAATGCCACTTAAAGCAGAGCACCCAATGTCTTTGTTATAGGTGCTAATCTATCCTCTGGAGGCAAATATTGTTCCTATTTCATGTTCCCTAGATCTCTGCAGCAGTGGTGATTCATATTGTCTGGTATTTATTCTCATTTAAATCTGTTTTTTGTGCTTTGTTTGTACAGAATGAGGTTTTGGTAGCTGATGAAGAGAAGACCCTAATGAATTAATCTAACCATATAGTATATATGCCACCTTAAAAAGAAAACAGCTTACAGGAATATAAAATATAGTCTATCTCTGTTTGTCACAGATAATTACACGCAAACCTTCAGCACCTAAATTAATTCCAAACTCAAAGCAGAAATGGATACATCACTCACACTTTTTTCTGTCCATCCATTCCTCTAGCTCTGCAAGGTTGATAATTTGTCTGGTCCTCCAAAGGCCAAGTTGATATTTAACATGGTGGATTAATCCCCGATACATGTCTATGACTGCTTTCAAATTCGGGCCATGATACAAAGCCTATAAAATAGTAGAATAGTCAGTAAGGCTCCTTATGAATTTGTCTTTTTATATTTATTTTGATTTATCCCTTTTCATCTACTTCACCCAGTTTCTTACATTATGTCTTTATTTACTGTTTCTCAAGCTATAACAGAATTTCCCTGGAGATTACAACTCCATCGTGAGCTGCTCTGACCTCAGATATGTACTTCCTGTGGAGTAGATGATTTACTGGTGGTGACTTTCTTAGATGCTTAATAGGTTAATGTATAGATTTCCATAATACATAGCACATTTGGGTCATAATATAAGTAAATATTTTAAGGCACTTTTCTATAATGGGTAATTTTATTTTTCATTAGTACATATTTGCTATACATAATGGTCACATTCATCACAGGGAAATTGTACCTGTACATTATACATCCTAATTCTTCCTTTTCCCCCATTCCCCTCTCACCCTTCCAAACTCTTCTTCTACTCCTATTTACAAGAGCTTTCCTTCCTTTTTTTGCCTTCCATTCTTTTTAGTCCTATTTCCTTTCCTCTCCTCCTCCTTCCCCTTGCTCTTCTTCCCCTTCGCATTTGAGCACGTTCTTTTCACTACCTAATAGCTATCCTCCATTTTGCTCCTTATTAACCCTTGGGGTTTCTAGCACAAGAGAAACAGTGTAATGTTTAAACTTGTGTGTCTGATTTATTTTACATAAAATTATGATCTTGAGGTGCATCCCTTTTTCTAAAAGTGACTCGTTTATCTTCTTTATGCACAGTAGTGCTCTATTATATATGAATAATCTTTATCCATTCATCTTTTGATGGGTATATGGGCTGTTTCCAATATTTAACTATTATAAATTGTGCCATGATAAACGTGGGTATATACACATCGCTGTGGTATGACGTCTGTTTAGCTCTTTTGGGAAGATACCTAGAACAGACAGCTGAGTCAATAGAACCTGTAGTTTTAGGTTTTTGAGAAATCTCTATACTGATTTCCATAGTAGTTGTACCAATTTACACTCCCACCAGCAATGGAGAAGGGTTCCTTCCCTCCCGCAACCTAGCCAGCATTTGTTATTGGTTGATTTCTTGGTGATCATCATTCTTTCCGGAGTGACATGGAATCTCGGTGTTCTTTCAATTTTTTGATATTGAACATTTTTTTCATATATTTACTTGCTGGTTGTACTTCATCTGAGATATGTTCATTTCAGGGGTACATTTTTAGATTGGATCTTCAAATTTGGGAGGTCTGTTTGTCTTCAGCTCTTTATATATTTTATATATTAGTCCTTTGTCTGAGGGGTAGATAGTAAAAATTTTTCACATTTCGTACATTGTCTCTTCACTCTATTGGTAGTTTCTTTTGCTGTGTAAAAGCTCTTTAATTTGATATGAACCCAGTTGTTGATTCTTTGTAGTATTTTCTGTGTGATCAGGGTTTTGTTCATAAATTCCTTGCCTACATCTAAGTCTTCAGAAGTTTTACCTATTCTTTCTTCCAACAGACTTACGTGTTTCTGTTTTTATATTTAGATCTTTGATCCATTTCTATTTTAGTTTGCTGCACTGTGAAAGATATAGGGCTAAGATCTATTTTTGGCATGTGGAAAGCCAGTTTCTCAGGACTATTTATTAAAGAAACTATCTCTGTTCCAGTGAATGTGTTTGGTCCCTTTGTCAAAAATAAGGTAGTTAAGTGTGCTTGGGAGCTGTTTCTGCATCTTCTACTCTGTTCCTTTGATCTCATGTCTACTTTTGGCCAATATCATGCTGTTTTCATCATGGTAGGTTTATAGCATAACTTCACAGCAGGGATTTTGATGCTCTCTTCTCAAGATGCCTTCTCCTTGTTGCCCAGAATTGCTTTTGCTGTTCTAAATCTCTTCTGGTACCATGTGAATTTTAGAATTGTTTTCTCTGGTTCTGAGGGTACGCTATTGTTATTTTGATCAAGATTGCATTAAATCCATATAACAGTTTTGGAAGTAAAGTGATTTTCACTATATTCATTTTGCTTATAGAAGAACAGGAGCTATCTTTCCAATTCTGATATCCTCTTTGATCCCCCTCATCCAGCTCTAATCACAATAGCATCAAGAAAAATGAGATACTTAGGAATCAATCTAACAGAGAAAGTGGAAGATCTTTACATTAAAAAAAACTATGGTACTCTGAAAAAGGAAATTATTTATCATGGATCTGGGCTCTTGCTGGTAGACAAGGAAGGCAGTCAGAGCCCAGATCCATGCTGAATAATCACCAGCAGTATGATTAGAGCTGGGTGCAGGTTTTGAGATTTTCAAATCCACAGAATTTCAGGCTGAATCCAGCCTCTGGTCAAGGCAGTGGGGCCTGAGTCCTTTAGTTTATAACACCCTGTATGTTTCTTGCCACCCTGACCATAGCTCCCTGACCATGGACATCTTCTGTGGTGAGCTATGAGCCAGGAGCTAAGGAAAAAGTGCAGATTGTTCCCTTTCACTCTGTGCATTGTGATCTGTCTCTTCAATTTCTCTGTAGGCTCCAATTTTCCCTCCAGATCCTTGCTGGGTCCAAGGGATCAACCTCCCTCCTTCTTCTCTTCCACAAACTCTTATTTTCCAGTGTCTGGATTCCAAATCTCAGAGAAGCTGATTTGTTGCTTCTTATTGCTCTGCCATCTTCCTGGAAGCTCCTATAATGCTAATTCTTACTTAAGTTGTCCATTCTAGGTAGTCAAATCCTTTTCTTTTCTTTTGAAATTTTACATTCACATCCTTTCCCTATTTTTCCCTTGGCTTTTTCAGATTTTTCTTGATTTATAAAAACTCTTCAAACATTAAAAGATGAATGCTTTTTTGCATATGGTTAATTTTTTAAGTTATCTGTGATGATATTCTTCTGTAATACGTATTTTCTATATTTCACCTGTATTAGTCAGCTTGCCCAACACTGAGATGAAATACTCTACACTCACAATTTACGGGAGGAGAGGATTCATTTGTCTTATGTTTTGAAGGGTTTCAACCCATGGTCTATTGGCTGCAAGGCAGAAACATCATGATGGAAGGATAGAGAGGAGCCAAGCTGTTTAGTTTATGGTGGCTAGGAAGAACAGCAAGGGAACAATTCCAGAGAGGAAGGAGCTAGAGATCACACATAGACCCCAAAGCTATGCCTTCAGGACATACACAGACACACTCAGAAATTCGGTCTACCAATCCCGTAGGCAGATTCTGAAGTTGATACTCCAGCCTAGCAGTCATATCACCCCCACTGTCATATCACACCCAAACAAACTTTGTTAATCATACCTTTTCTCAAAATAAACACAGCAATAAGTTAATAATGCTGCCTAACATAATACCACTGTCCTGTGTAGTCAGAAATGTGACAATCAGTTCCCCAAATCTCAACAGTTCCAGCATTTTTCAAAAGTTCAAGTCAAAGTCTCTTCTAAGACTCAAGGCAATCTCTTAGCCATGAATCTCCCTAAAAATAAAAACATATTACATAATTCCTAGGTACAATGGCACAGGTTAAACACTACATTTCCAAGAGAGAAGTATAAAGCGATATAAGAATTGGAACAAAGCAAGACCGAAATCCTACAGTAAAACATTAAGGTCCATAGCTCCATATCTCTATCCAGAGAATATGGTGGTTAGATGTGAGTTTCAGAGGACTTTGGTGACCCCAAAGCTATTCACCAGACCCTATGTTTTATTTGACTGCACCCCATATGGCCTGTGTCTTGGGCAGGTTCTACTTATGTCCTGCAGCTTTCCAAAGATCTTCCACATTCCCAGCATCTCCAACTTCCTGTGCTTTCCATTGTATCTTTGGCTTTATTTCCACAGCTTCATGTACTATTCTTTAGGGGACTCAAAGTTTGGTCTCCCAAGCCTTCCTTTGAAATTTGAGTGAAAGGCTCTCTGATCCCACAATTCTTGCATTCTCCATACTGGTTTCACCAACAAAATCTGGAAGATGCCAAGATCTATCATGAGCACAGGCAGTAACCAAGACCCTCTGGACAATGCTACAGTAGCCTCTGAGAACACTATGAAATTAATCCCAGAGTATCAATTCTCTTAGGCATAGAGCCCAAATGCTCTCTTCCCATCACTCAGCCATCTATGCTTGGGGTGTCTTGCTATTTTCTTACATGGCTGCAAGCCATCTTTTCTATTGTTCTGATGTAAAGTACTTGAGTTCTTCTTAATGATGCTAATCTTTTTAAGAGTCATACCTCTTTTCACCCCAACTTTATACATGATTCCTTCTGAACCAAAATTTATGTTTTTCAAATATTTTCTGCTCTGCCTTTGCCCTCAATTTTCACTACTAATTCAGCTAAAAACAGCCACAAAGTACTCATGTTACAGTCTATATATTGGACTGTCTTGAATTTCTTCTGCTAGATTATTTCACCAATCTTAGTCTCTTGCAAAGTCTTAGACAAAATTTCTGCCAGAATGTAACATATGTGACTTCTAGTTCAATTGCCAGTAAGTCCTTGTTCCCAGTTGAAAGCTCCTGAGCTTGGCCTTACTCATCACATTTCTATCAACACTCTTGGTCTTCTGAGATCTGACCAGAATCACCCACACCAAGTCAGCTTACAGCATCTGGGGATTCTCTAGCCAATATCTCCAAACTTTTCCAAACTTCCAAAAACCAGTTCCAAAAACATCTACATCACATGGTCAGATACAATCAGAACAATGACCCCACTTCTCCAGTACCAATTTTCTATATTAGTCATTTTTCCTATCACTGAGACATTAATAGCTGACCCTCATAAATTAAAGGAAGATAGGATTATCCCGGCTCATGCTTTGAGGTAAATTCATGGTTGAGTGACACCAAGGCAGCAACATCAGTTGTGATAGAGAAAAGAAGTTCAGGTCATGGTGGCTAGGAAGTAGAGCCCAAGAACAGTTCTAGAGAAGAAAGGTCCAGGGACCACACAAAAATCAATGCAATGCCTTCACGACCCACCCAAATGCATCCAGAAGTGGGCTCTACCA